CGTATCGTATGTAAGAGTCGTATGTATGAATCATACCCACGGTCTGATATCCTACGGACAACACCTTCAGACCATCAAAGAAGACATTATCACCCACATCAGAAAATGCACAATCAATACTGTCAACATATCTTGTATTGATGGTATCATCCACACCAAGACGTTTCTCATGGTCACTGTTAGCAAAGGCACTTGTCTACAAATTGGTGACAATATTCATCTTCTTGCAGGTGCATTAAATTTGTTTCCAAATCTGACAACAAAAATACCCATATCCTTTGTATCAACTGATCCCCTGTTTTCATTGACAATAGACTTCCTGCAAAAGATGTGTACAACTTTGTGATCTTCTCAGAAATACCCTTTCCACCACCAGTCAATACCACCAATCAAGCTGGAACTAACAACCCAGCTGCAACACCACCTGCTGTTGATCCCAACGTTGTCCATCTCTTTGAAGTGAACAATGACATTCTGCGTCAGCAAGCAACAATGATCCAACAACTTACTCCAAAAGCACAGACCTATAGTTTGAACATCACTCCATTTGTTCCTTTGAACTTCCCCCCCACCATTCTCAGCTTGAAATTGTCCTGCTTGTCTCATCAGCTTTCAAACTCCACTCCTGCCTCAGGTTTCCATCACATCTCTTAAATCTCCTTATACAAAAGATGAAACAATCCTGTCCCTTCTGGTAATCATCCATCTTGCCTCTTGTTCTTCCATTTCTTTGATAGTAGCAGAACCTTCCTCTCTATCTCTTTACATTTTGATCCTCTTTGAGCTGGTGGTGCTGTAAGTACACCACCTCCTATTTATTATGTAGCAGTAGAAGAGCAAATTCCTCATCTGAAACTTTGAACATCATCTCACTTCTTATCACATATTTCCTGGTGTTCCTGATATCAAAATTAGTTTGCATTGAGTCCATAGTGGTGCCAACAAGTGTCCTTCTGAAAAAGTAATAAAAATCTGCATTGCCTGTCCTTCTGAAAAAGTAATAAAATCTGCATTACATGTGTCTCCCTATGACCTGTTGAGGCACAATGGGTTTAAGAGTTTACCCATCACATTGATCTTTTTTCCAGGAAAGTTCAAAGGGATGCAAATGTTGTGTGTGTTGGACAAGAGGCAAATGTGCAAGTTAGGTGTTAAATTCTTCATCTGTTATGATGTTATCATTTCTTTTTAGTTACATACAAACCCAATCACATCTTGTGTATTGCTGTGCATTCTTGTGTCTCAATTTATTCATACCTTCCAAAGCAGATTCTGTTCCAAGTATAGTTGAAACTCTAAGTTGTTCTGAAACTCATCTGTGTTCATAACTGCTGTGCTGTCCACAATAGCCTGTTGATAGTCACA